TGCTGGGGGAGTATAGCCTTAAAGGCGAGGACCCCCCTTTTTTAATATTTTTTTCTACAAAACGTGGTTATATTTTACCATTTTTTTTGGGGGAGGGGATTCAGCCCGAAAGCCCCTCCCCGTAAATAAGCCAGTGGATCTTATCCATACTGATGTCGCTTAACAGGGCTTAAATTCCCAAAGTTCAAAATGCCTTCCTCTAAAGACTACCTTAATTAATTTTATTTTAAATAACTATCTCTCCATGTTAGTAGTGATTAAAAAATTTATATATTTTATAATCACCAACTATTAACTACTATTTTATTGGGGCATTTGTGGAACTGGGTGAATTAAAACGATATTTTAAATGAGTTCCATTCAGGATTTCGTCAGGGCTACCCGATCGTGGACCACATTTTCATTTTTAGTATTGTTAAATTGTCTTAGGCAAAAGTCTTAGTATTTTTCATGAACTTCAATCAAAGCGGCATTTGATTGCGTAGATTGGGGGACTCTACTTTTTAATTTAACTGATTTGGGGCTGCCTTAGATATTTTTGAAAATCTTGAAGAGCTTATACTAGAGCTACAGTCTATTATAATAAAGGAATCACGGAATATTTTTAAACATCAGTTGGATTAACAGAGGGCTGTCTGCGAAGTCCTTTATTGTTTGGGTTCTTTCTAAATGATTTAAATTATTATTTAAGCCAAGGGCTAGATATCGCAAAACCATTAATATTAATACCATTAATATTAAGTGTTTACCACTAGCGGATCCAGGATTTATTTTTGGGGGGGGCTTCAGCCCGAAACCTTTTTTTTTCATAAAAATAACGATAATTACTTTGGAAAAACAGAAAGAAACTAACTACCTATATGAAATGGTGTTTAAGTTATTCCTTAAGTACTTTTAAATGTAATTACACGAACAAAAATACTTTAAGAGGTATTTTTTAAATTTTTTTTTCCATAAAACATGGTTATATTTTTCCATTTTGGGGGGGGCTTCAGCCCGAAAGCCTCCCCCGTAGAGTTTACTATATGCAGACGATGTAGTTGAACTAGCCTCTTCCCCTATAAACTACAGCGAATGATAAAAAATCTCGAAAATTACTGCCGTATATGGAATTTACATATAAATCTGGTGAAATAAAAAATAATAATTTTTGATAAGGCAGGCTATCTAAATTTGAAAGGTGGAGCTTCGAAGAAAACCCAGTTGAGGTGGTCAATGAGGACAAATATCTGGCAGTAATAATTACAGCAAGATTGGTCTTGGGGCATCACTTTCATGAAAAGATTAACCACAGTAAGGTTGTACTGAATACAACTTTGCATAATTTCATCAATAACAATATGAAGTTTTAGAAAAATTCAAAAGATATTTTATTAATAAAATTTGCTTCTCTCGAGATAGGCTTCTAATGATATTTTAGCTCATTAGTAATATATATATGCCTATACGTTGAAATTGCACTTTAATTATATTTTAAAAGTACTAGAGATGCCGCATTTTCGTTTGCCCCGTATCCTAGCAAAATAAGTTATAAATAAGAAAGTTTTTTTGGTACCGAAAGTGGGTGGAATTCAAGGAACGCTATCAAATTAAATTCGATATTGCAAATGTCTCTGACCTAGGCATAAAGTTATCCGCAGTTAAACATGGGATGGATGAAGCAGAAAAACAAAGTAATTTTGAAAAATGCCAACCATCTAGTTTTCTACATAAGCAGGCTGGCTTATGTGCAGTCGAGACAGTATCATCTTGTTCAGTGATTGTTTTGATATTAAAGCGATACGGTCCACATCCCGGTGTAGGATGGAATTACTTAATTTAAGGCCCCTTTCACACTGAAGATGCATGCATCTTAAACACTGGACTGTGTAATAGTACGAGAACTTTCACACCCAAGATGCACTAGCGGATCCAGCCGGGGGACACGCACCCCCCCTGGAAGCTGATGAAAAAATCCATCCTCATAGATGATGAATATCCTAATGAAATATAAAAAAAATATATTATTGAGAACAGCACTAACGAATTCTGCCAGGGGAAGGCATATAACAAGTAAATAAAGTGTGCCACTAATCGTTCAAACACTGATGAGTTGGGCTCTTCACAATGTGGCAAGCTTTATATAATTACTTAGAGCTTTCCAGTTGGTACCTTTTAGTAAAATAAATATTTCTTCAGAATAGATTTGTTGACCAAAACATTTTTCTCTGATCTCGCTATAGATATGACAAACCCCCAAGAAATGTATGGTGTCCTCTTTTTCTCCGGAGTTACATACTGAGCAGTTGTCCCTGTCTTCATGTTTCCACGGCTTAACGCTTAGGCCCCTTTCACACTGAAAATGCAAGATGCAAGATGCATGCGTCCTGGATGTAGAATGCATATGCGTCTTGCATCTTGACGAAAGAACTTTCACACCAAGGATGCAGATGCCTCTTGCATCTTTTATTTATATCCATTATATCTGTTAGTTTAGTATATGAGTTAAAAAGATGAATAATCAATCAGGTGACGAAACAAAAATTCTGGCTTGTGCAGTAAGAAGACAAAGACCAAGAAGAAATCGTTTATGACAGCACCCATACTGGAATAATGCTGGAGAGCATAGTGGTGTCTCAGAAATTACTGAACCATCCAATAAAGTTTCAAGCGTACTATAAAATGGATATTTTGATTATTAAGAAGTTGTTAGATCTCATAGAACTGTCACTGATTCGTTGGGATTCAAATTGTCGGTTGTGTGTATCTGCGAAAGAAAGACTACTGATATTTCTGAGGTAAATAACTATATCTTCCCATGAATTGTAAAACTCATTTTTTAAACATCTGAATGTAGCTAAAAACTGAAAACATTACTTAGGAATATTTTGTATAGCATTGTTGATTAACAGTATCAATACCATTTCTTGGGGAGGGAGGAAGAATAAATGTTACCTTATAATTGGAAAACTCCAACCTCACAACTTTGTATCTTTAAAACGTAGGTCACATCACTCCATGTCATTGCAATTTAGGCATATAATTTTTAATCTTCCATGGTAATAACAAGAAAAATAGGTAAAAACATATGAAGCAATAGTTGAAAATCAGAACAATAGATAAAAAATAAAAAATCAATTGATAGAGACGTCAATCACAAGAGCTTGGAGAAAATTGATAAGGGAGATGAGAGACCAAGCGTTGGCGGTGTAAGCCGACTGGACCCAGTGCTCCTTTTATTTATATTTATATCCTTTTATATATTATATATTGCTCCTCAAAAATATTTTGCTTTGGGAAGGATGAAGTGGAAGGGACGAGTATGCAAGACCATCACAACAAAGATGGACACTAAAAATCTTCAGCCGGCTGGTCCCCAAGAGGCAAATGCGTTTTGCATCCAGGCTGCATGACGTACTTCCATCTTGGCAGTGGCGTATCCATGAATTTTCTCAGAGGTGTGGTAAAGCGTATAAAACATTACTAAATTCTCTATAAAAGAAAAAAATCATCGAAATCGGACTATTTTTAGCAAAGATACAGCTTATTGAAATTTGTAAATATGTTGGTTCCAAATATTAATGAAGTTTTAAATTAATTTATGTTTCCTTTGTCGATTATATTTAGGAAGAAAGTAACAATTGATTTCTTTTATGATATGTTGCATTGTTTTATTTTCTTATTAATTTATTATTTGATTAATGAACAATAAACTGAGCGAATTTGCGCACGGGCCTACTAGTAATTTATTAACTAAATTAACGTATGGAAAAATTGGTTCACCAACCTGAACTGTGAGGACTTATATCTTCTCAACCATAAAAGCAATTCTTAAACTGCCACCAGTTCCTGATGCTGAAATATTAGAATGGCAAGAAGAAAGATCTTATGTATGACAGCAAAATGAAGTGGAGACTTGAATAGTGAGATAGAATTACTACAGCAGTGCACTCCCTGTCATTGAGAAGAGGTAGGGAGAGTCTTAGAGGTTGGACTGGATGAGTATACCAATGTGCTCGCTGTAAGGAATAGGTTAAATCTTCCTTTTCAGTTCATATTCATTCATAGAAAAAAATATTTTTTCTATTGCCTATTTTGTAATTATCTATTTCTATTTAAAATTTTTGACATACAGTTTAGAAATTCAAATTTTACTTTTCATCATAAACCTATGACTTGCTGTCCTACAGTATCCTTTAACAATACCCCACTTATCCCTGTTGACCAAATCCGATACCTAGGACTTTACCTTGACAAACGACTCACTTGGAACCTCCATACCAGACTGAAACGACTAGAAACCGCCCGACGTTTCTGACTACTCCAGTACTTACTACACAAACGCTCTAAACTGCCAACTATTTACAAAAGACTCATATATATTACTATAATAATGCCTATTTGGACTTACGGGATCGAGCTTTGGGGCTCTACTAAACCATCAAATTCCTCTCGTATGTAATCCCTACAATCCAAAATCCTTCGTAAAATCCTTAATGTTCCCTACTTTGTCACAAATAAAATCATCCATAATGACCTTAATGTACCATATGTTTCCGATTTAGCTCAATCCAGATATCTGTCCTTTCATAATAAACTTCTGAACCATCCGAACCCTCTCGTTTCCAAACTTGCTTCCTCTTCTATTCCTGATAACCCTCCGAGGCGTCTGAAAAGAAGATGGCATCGGGACCTTCTAATATAGAAATATAATTGGATTGCTACCAATGGGTAGTTTCTCCTCATGTTGTATATGTCATATTACTTGTTCATATTTACTTGTTGTATTTATTATCAATTACAGTTGTAAATTTCGATAATAAAAAAAAAAAAAAAAAAAAAAAAAAAAAAAAAAAAAAAAAAAAAAAAAAAAAAAAAAATTTACTTTAAAAATTGAATTCAGAAATTAAAAAAAAAATTTACCAATAGAAACTAAATACAAACAAGCATAATGATGATGTCATAAGAAGCTTTAAATTTACATCCAAAGGTCTGATTAACATTTTAAAAAATACAACACATAACAATAAACATGTATTAAATTTGTCACAGTTTTTTTTAAACAAAGAAGTTGGACTTTACTCTTCAAAAGAGTTTAAAAAGTCTTTAAACAATCTAGTAATTTAACCTAGAATTTATATAAAAATAAAATCATTTTCTAACGACCTAGAAAAACAATATATACAACAGATTATATACAATATTGACTTATTCAATATAATGAGAACATTATGCTTAAGACATGAGCTATCAATAAATTCTCCTTCATGATTGATCAATATTAAAGAGCTCCACACATGAGGATTTGTATCCACACCTGAGTCAGCTTTTTTGAAAAGCTGACTCATGTGTGGATACAAATTTTAAACATCTCAATAAAGGCAAGATTATATAAAGAAACACCTTTAACAAGCTGTCACCTTTTTCAGACTAATAAAGAAAAGAAACAACACCCTCCTACCTCACAATTAAAATAAATAGTTAAAAATTGTAAATATATACAAAATGTATTTTATGAATACAAAAATATAAATATGTATGCAAACAATTAATTACAATTTAAATATCTTTGTATGAGTAAAATTTTATACAATACACAAAAGTTATTTTTATATATTTAAAATAAAAGTCTTTCTTAAATGAAGTATGAACAATATGAAGTTGGTCAGTAAATGATGAACTCCCCAACCAATGGAAGATGATCAGATGGGTTGAATTCATTAGGTAGAAAACGAACGTGTAAGTCGCATTCTGCTGCTGTAGGAAGGCTTAAGCGAGACATCAATCTTATACCATCCCTATAAAATCAAATATTAGAAAAAGGTAGAATTATCATGAACCCCAATTAATCAAACAAAGATTAACCTAGATAAAGGCTAAAATATGATTGATCTATATTTAGCACTAACTTGCAGCTCATTTTCAGTCTGACATAGTTTAGTGCTACTATAGAGTTCTGAATCAAAAATATATTAAAAAATGAGCACTAGAGCCAGAATTACTAATTTATAACCTAATAAAATTAAGTTAATCCTTAATTTAAAATTGTATAATTAGGAATACAATTACAAGTTCCGTAATTGAGTGGGGCCATCACTTCCGAGAGTGTTATGGGGTCATGGCCTTGATCATGAACTTAATGTAAGACATTATGATAATAAAGAATGATTATACAGCTTATTAAGAATAATGTAAAACTATTTATAAAATATATCTCTAAAATTGTATTCTTATATTCTAAGCAATCAAAATTTAAATATCTATAGTAAAAAATGAAAATATACTCACCATAAAAAAAATCATAACACCTCAAAACTATGGAATTTTAAAAAATCTTAGGTTTTATATTTAAAAAACAACACAATATTTTTTGTTTATTAACAAAATTTAAATTTTAGGGGTTTATAATAGCATTTAAAGCCACCTGTTCACTGAGTTTCCTTTCTGATATACTCGTAAAACATTTTAAATAAAATTTTGAGGAATGTTATTCCACTTCTCCAATACAGTATGCCTCTCCTAAAGCCTACAAGTATAGGAGAAGAAATCCAGGACAAAACTTCCTTTTTAAATTTATCCCATATATTGGATAAGATCAAGACTTCTTGCATAATTTATTTAGTGCCATTAAAATATTTAAATCCTTTGTTTGTTGACATATAGTGAATAACAATGATATGGCTAATATCTAATAATGCCATTCACATAACTAATCCTCATAGATTCTAAAATTAAAATTTATATGAGCTGCGATTTTTTTTTTTGACAGAGAATTTATTTTAGATTAACAATCAATATTCTATAAATAGAACAAATCCAACAAATAGGATATTTTCAAATTTTTATATTCATTAGCATCAATAGCTACCAATGTAAAAAACTGTAACTAGTATAATTGTAAATGCACCGATGCAACAATGGTGAAAATATCACTTTACAAAATGTCAATTATTTCTTTCCTGTAAAAAAGTGAACTGGTGTGGACTTGTTAGAAAGAGCAGGAAGTTAAATAATTATCAGTTACTTACGAATAAAACATGTAGTCAACCAATACCCAACCGTGCTGGAAAGTTGTAACTCCTCGGTTTGAATTTTCTTTTAAATCATAAACTGAATGAAATTTGAAAGGATGAGAAAGCAGGTAACTGAAAAAAATGAAAATGAAATTGATGATTTATTCAAGAGTCAATCTGTTTATGTAATATTAATATTACTAGTTTATAGTAATATACTAATATTATTAGTATTAGTAAATTGGTGATCAGTTTCTTTTTTCACCCTGTTCACAACAGAAAATAATAAATGAAAATGTTTAAACTTTTATTTCTTTTAGCCTTGCCTCAATACAATTTTTGTAGCAAAGAAAAATTTATTTTATAGAATATATCGTTTTATTAAGCATGTAGAATTTAGAAGAGAATAAATTTAAAAACAATAAGACCAGATTGTTTCTTTTACCATTCCTTCTTTCACAGGCTGGAGACTTATTGATCATATTATATAAATGGAGACAAATCAGGATTTATTGTTAGTTTTCAAACAAAATTGTATATGAAGATATCCAATTATGATAGTAAATACTTCTTTTATCATTGCTCATTTGTGTACATATTTTAAAAAGTATTATTTTAAACAAAAATATAGATATATAAATTGTGAATTAAAAAAAATGTTATTTAAATAAAAAAAAATATCACTAACTTGATTCATGAAATACAATTCTAATCTGCTAATTTTTATTTTATTATAATTTTCTCATCATCAATATCAAGTCAGTTATATTTGTATTTATTAAATATTAGACCACCATTGAGAATTGATTTTAAAATAATAATCTAAATTGTAATTCATTGCCAACAAAAATCAAGATATGTTTAAATTTAGATTTTTTATATTAATCAAAACTGCCTGAAATTATTATCTTTATAATATACTTTGATGACTATACCTCTGATGGACTGCAGAAGATACTGAAGGAAGTGGAAGCAATTCTTCTTTGCCTTCACATGGAGATATTACTTGCTTCTGACTGTGATATAGCTAATTAAAGAAATAACAAGATATTAATTTTTTTGTAATTATAAAAAAGTATTTGTATAATTGTGACTAATAATAACAACTAATTGGGCTATTTGCATTTAATTTGCACTTCTTCAGCCTTTTATATACTGCTTTATACGTCATTGATGGTTTTTTTTTTATTAGAATAGAACCACATAGCAATCGACAAAAAATAGCTGTTACTATGCCAAAAGATTGATTTCTATGTCAAGCGAGAATGGCCTTGTTGAGTGAGACGTTCAGGAAAGAACAGTTTTTTAAAACAAGCTATATAATATCCTAATATGCTAATTGTTTCCACCGCCCTTGAAATAACTGAAAACTCTGACTGTGTTATCATAGTAGGCAATGATACTAATCTGCTAGAACAGTTGAAACACCTGTAGGACACCACATTCATGATTTCCCGAGATTATCCTCTTTATTCATAGTGATAAGAGTAAAACCAAGTCTGGATAATGAATAATTAATATATTGTGAATGTAATTATATTTAGTCTTAAATACTTTACGGTGATCTTTGGTATAATAAATTTTGGAGTATAACCTAGAAGAGGAACCAGCCAAACAAATAATAAACAGAGTGTAATAATTACACAATTGACATAAAAACATCAATTTTTTTTTCTATAAAAGTAATTCAGAAACTTTTAATAATTTATTTATAAAAATAAAAACATCAAATTATTTTTGGTATGCACACTCTATATATGTTATCAGCAAATTCAAGAAGTAAGAGTTCTACTGGTCTTATGTTGGCATTTCCTTATATTCTCTTTGGTCTTCCTAATAGCGGCATCCATAACTTATCAAAGTTTCGATTTCTTGAGATGTACAGCTGGCAAACCTTACAATGCTTCTTGTTTTTTTGTACAAACTTTCCACCGCCAGTATATGTCCTTGACCTACTCCCTTATCTCTAAGGCCTCTGAGATATCTGTCTTGTTAACTCGGTCAAAAGCTTTTGTAAGGTCAACAAAGCATACTGCAAGTTCCTTATCTTTTTCTAAAGGATATATGGCAAGTGCTAGCAGAATGTTTGAAGCGGTCAAGAGAGGCTTCCTGAACAGAGAAGAGGCGGAGAAGAAGGCAAAAGTGGCTGCGCTTAGGTCACACTAACAAAAAAGCATCAATCAAGAATACAAGCGATGAATGAGATGTCTCAGAAAAATTGAGGGGAAAACAAAAATAGACCGAATCCGCAACACTAAAATTAGTGCGAACCTCAACATTAAACCAAAACCAGCCTATGAAGTTAAAGGAGAGAACAGACTAAGATGGCTGGGATATCTTCTAAGAATGGAACCTAGCAGAATCGCTAGAGAGGTCTATCAAGCCAAGACTGACGGGAAGAGAGGAAAAGCTCGACCAAGGAATAAATGGAACAACGAAGAAAAGAAGGATTTCCTGATAGGAGGACTCCAATGGAATGGGAGAAGGCGTTTGATGGAAGACCAGCAGAGCTGGAGAAAGCTCTATAGACTTCCTCCTCCACTGCACAGGCGGTACTAGAGGAGGGAATATGATGATGATATATATATATATATATATATATATATATATATACACACAAACATATATGAAAAAAAAAACCTGCACCACTAGTGGGTTCAGTACTCTATGAAGAATACTGTTACACGGCCAACGGTTGTGCAGGAATATGATTGGGAATAGATCATTCTCAGCTACCAGGTTTTCTCCCTTAATTAATTATGATTACCTACTTTATGGAGGTTGGGTGTGCCCCAGGAGGATCTTCCGACCCTAGGGTTGATCCATGGCTGATGAAAAATTATTAGTCATTAGCCAGTTTGAACCTGGAACCTTGAGTTCTGGAAGTCTGTGCACCCTCTTTATATAAAAAGATATCAAAATAATTTTTGGGATGTAGGTTTTATTTAGGTTGCTTGAAGTGTTTCAGTATATCCAACGGCTCCCTTTGGATCAAATGAACTTAAACACAGTCAGTAGGGTTTTCAAGGCAGAATAATACCATAGAACTAGAGGTAAAGGTTAGTAGGTGGTAAAGGTTTAGTCAAACTTTTGGAAAGTTCAAACGTTTTTTTTTTTTTTTTTGCAGTCTTCCCAGTTTTAAAATTTTTGCGCATCTCTACCTGAAGTTGAAGTGTTGGGTTTCAACTATTCCTACCATTTTTTTTTATCCTATTCTTAAGGGTTTGAGCAACTTTACAGTTGGATGTCAAATGGAGCATCAGTTCTTAGCAGAGCTTAAAATGAAAAAGTAATTTTCATTCAGTTTCGATATGACTGGAAACGAAACTTTTTTTTATTTTGATCTGTTATTTTGTGGAACATTTTAATAAAAAGTTTTACAGAATTTTTAAAACAAAAGTTCTGTTAAAAAAATGCATTTCATTTAAAAATGAATCTAAAAATTATATTTGTGCAGAACATAATTAAAAAACAAGACAAATAAATCATGCCATTCATTCAAGATAGATTATGTCTGTGATCTAAGCTCAAATAACAATTTATTTCTCATTTAATATAACTTTTTTTAAGAACTTAAATAAACAAAAGTTCTTAATTTTTTTAATTTTAAAAACCTTTTTCCAAGAAGGTTTCATGGAAATTATAATGGAACTTGAATGGAAAACTATTAAAATGGAACTTTTTGATAAGTTCCAAATCCTCCTTCATAGTGCCATTGATTAGTGACTTATTAATCTTTATTCAGTATATGACATCATAAAATTTGATTTAATTAATAGACCTAATCAATATACTATCACATCAACTTTAAAGTATCAAATGTGAGAAAACCACATTTTCCTATCAGATGCAAGGTGGAAGACAGACATGCAATGACTGAATTTCGAACACATTTGACACTTCTGGTTGAAGGTGCATGCTGAACACGCTGTAGTTTGTAGACCTGTATTAAGGGGTGTTAGAGAAAACTTTCAGAATAAAAATGTAATGACTATATAAAGAAATAAATGTATGAACAAAAGAAAAAGAAACCTTTCTTAAGAGTAAAGATGTCATTACATCTTCTATAAACTAGGTAATAACACAACTGAAACCTTCATAAGAGCAACAGATTACAAGCATTGGCATAGCATACCTTACTTTCCTTTTCCAGATGTACACACTCGGGAGAAACACCCAGACATGGTGGAAGAGGTCGATAAGTACTCAATAATTTGCCTTGATTCAATAAAGTTAAGACAGGTGAATGAGGTGTGCTATTGAGGTCACCCATCAATAAAATGTCTAGACCGTCAGGATCTTTCCTGTAATATCCAAAATGTATTTATGATTATAAAATTCATGGTTCAATGGAAACATATTAATATGTGAAACAGAATTTTCTCAGTAATTTCAGTAAACTACAAAAATTTTTAGTTATAAGTTGAGTAGGTGCCATTTCTGCCTCTTAAGCTGGATGAAAGATACTATTTCATATTTTTCTCAATTTAGAGCTTACTGAGTTTTCTATTGTTACAAAAAAGCAAGAAATCTATGTACGAATATATATATACATACATATTTAGAGATTTGAATATTCCCTCTAGTATTTTCTTTTCCCTTACTGAAAAGGCTTTCAAGTTTTTGATCAATATCTATTTCTCACTGCTAAGATAAAAGACAAGTACACATATATGTCTTTTAAATTAACGCAAAATAAATATCAATATATGTTAATTCAAGTTCATTAAATAGCATTTATGAATTATACTTTTAATCCTGGATCAGAAGAAGGATTATTCTATACTAAATATAATTCATTGTTTTATTTATATTAGAATATTTTTAAGATGCTGAGGTATTGATTATTTGCCTAATTTTTACAAATTAAAATTTTAAATTTATAATCAGTATGTGAACTGAATGAGTGAATGACAATGGAGTCTGCCAGCAGCTAAAGGTCTAGTCGTCAGCAGAACAATGTTCCATCACAAGGGTATCCACAAGTATACCTGTATTAGCCCCAAAGGAGCGAAAAACATAATTGACCATGTGCTGGTAGACAAGAAACATCAGAGCTCAATACAAGATGTAAGAAGCTATCGTGGAGCAGAGTGTGATTCCGATCACTTTAGGATGCTATTTAATATGGAAAGGTTTTGGAGTTTGGAAAGAAAGATTTTATGTTTAATGGAATCGAAGGCTTTTGAAAAATCAGAGAGGACAAGAATAGAGATTTTCTGTTTGTCTATAGAGGAGAACTGAAGGTCTTGGGAGATTTTCAATAAAGCAAATGGGGTGGAGAACTGTGACCGAAAACCAAACTGTAAGAAATTGAGGAGAGGATTATGCTGAAGAAAGGTTGGAGAGATTGGAGATGGTTCTGAAATCGGAAACTTTGGAGGGAACCAGAACTTTGCTGAAAAGACGGACTATAACTTCTTTCCAAGCTGATGGGAAACAGGAATTTTGAAGGAAAAAATTGTAAATATGCAGTAGGATAGCAAAGATGACTGGAGGGACATAATTTGATTAATTTCACAGGAATTAGATCTGGACCATAGTCATTCATTCTGGATGAAAAGCGATAGTCTAGTGTCTAGTGCGCAAACTTGATATGGTGAAGGTTCCTAGTTCAAGACGGGTTTCACTATATTCCTTTTAGGGGACAGGATGCCGAGTGGGCTAACAGTACCACCGTACGTTGCTCGGCAGCCTGATAACCAAAGTTAGATGGAAAAATATTATGAGTTCAAATCCTGGTACCCCGTGCGAATTTTAACTCGACCTAATTCTCTCGCCCTCTCCCCCAGATCGGGAAAAGGGAGTTTTTGGAAAGTAATATGATGAGGAGAGGGTCAATCCATTTGAAATCACCCAGACCATGTAGCTCGACATTTTTGATTTTTATAATTTTTTTACCAGTTATTCCATATTTATTTGAGAATTGAAAAGCGCAGTTAAAAAAATTTTGAGGCTCACAGTTTTTTTTCGACGGCCAATTTTAATTTTCTTTTCGACTTGAAACATGTTTTGGGAAAATTCTTGTAACTCGAGTTATTTTATAGATATCCTGCCAAAATAAAAGCTGAAATAATTTAGAATATTTTTTCTACATTTCTTTTTATCAACATCACATAAAAAGAAAGGAAAATGGTTTAAAAAAATCATGAAAATATAAAAAAAAAGTTACTTTTAGGGCTGCAAAAGTTAAATAAAGCATTTTTGTGACCTATAACTTTTAAATGGTGTATCTCAATAAAAACTTTATTCTATTATGAATAAAACAACATTAAATTCTATATAAAATGAGTACCTCAAACATAGGATTCGGTTAGGCAGAAGAATCGAAATGTCTAAATAAAAAACATATGATCTACGAATTTTCTTTAAATATTCCTTTGCAGGCATTGTCAGTCTTATCTTTCTTAAAAGCGGCTATTATGTATGAAAAATATTGAATAAAAGTTGTAGATAATAGAATTTCGCATTTAATGATTGAGTTCGAATAGAAGTAAAGTAGAGAAACTGTAAGTTTTTAAATTTCCGTCAAATCTATATAAATAAAATAATGGTTTTGTCTGTATATTGAATAGAATCAACTTGTTTTATGATATCTTTCCATTTCATGCATTGCAACAAAATTTTGTCAGGAGTAAGCTCAGCAATGGCTTATTGTAGACTTTTGAAATTTTAACATTATATTAATATAATGTTAAAAATTAAAATATATGTAGGGAAGGATGGTTGGAATGATCACTCAAAAATAAGAAGGAAAAAATAAAAAATAATATTTATTTGAATATTTCTCGACGTTTCAACCTGAAGTTCAGGCCTTCATCAGGGCTAAGAAAAGAACCAGATAACAAGGTATGAGAAGCATAATTAATGGAGGTAAAAAAAAAAAAAAGTTAAGTAAAATAAAGTGGGTAGAATAATGACAATAGTAAGAACTAAGAGATAAATAATAATAACCGTTAAAAATTGTAGAATGATTAAGTAAACATAAACAAAAAAGGTGACATAAGTATTAAAATGGTAATCTTAAAATAAAATTTAAAACAGAAAAAAGGAATATGAAGTTATATAAAAAGAGAATAAATAGTAAAATTAAGATATTGCAAATAGAATAGTTAGATAGAAAATTGAGATATTGTAAAGTCTATCAAAATGTACTGACAAACTATAATAGAATTAAGAGTTAAAACAGAGAAAAGGAATGAAAGGAAGGAGGAAAAAAAGAGAAGACTGAAATGAGAAAGAAAAACAACCAACCTCTTGGTTGGCCGTCGAAACATTGGCAAATAAATCAAATAAATATTATAATTTATTTTTGCCTTCTTATTTTTGACTGATCACCCCAACCAACCTCTTCATTATTCACGACAGTCAACCATTAACCCACAATTTAAAATATATGTAAAGTGTACATTCTTGCTAGTTCAACTTTTGTTAATTTGATAAGTTAAGGCTCCTCAAGATCATGCAGGGATTGGTTTCCTGTCACCTCAACATGTTCGTCGATTACTATTAAAAATCTCCTATTAATAGGATTTCTTAATAAATAAGTATTGATAAAAATAAGTTAACCTTGAATTATTTTGAATTCACATTGCTTTAATGGAACCCTCAATAGTCCAGAATATTTGATAATGCAACACATGTACCACAATTGTTGGATTATGAAGATTGAACTGTATGGGTAACAAGATATTTCTTCCCATTTTCAATTAATTTTGCACAAAAAAAAAACTAAATATCTAATTAACAATATTCTATAGTGTGTGTTTGTGTAAGAGTAGTGTAATACTTCAAAACAACTACTGAAATTGATGCACAGATGAAAATTATTTAAATAAAAGTTTATTAAATGCTTCAAGCTAATTACTTAAAATACCTTTTGATTCTATCAATTTCAGCCAGGAATATTTGTAATTGAGCCAATCTCACTTCCGTTCTTTTTGGGTTATATAAAAGATGGGTATTAGCAACAAGAAACTTTTTCCCATTTTTTTCCAATTTTGCAATTAAACCAACATTGTCTCGTGTAGCCAGCTGGATAACAGCTGAAAACATTTTTAAAACAAAATTAAAAATATCTAATTAATTGCAATTATTAAAAAACAAAACAAATAAACATAGAGAAATATTCCTTTGTTAATTGTACAAAGGAAACTTGTTTACAAATTTGTTGCAACCGTAAACATGTAGCTTATCAGTATGACATGTTGTAATGTATATAATAAGAAAAAAATAAATGAATAAAAAAAAAAAATACTTGTACAAATCTTTCAAATTAATAAGCTTTGAAAACCAAGGAATAATAAATAAATTACCTATGTAGGAAATAAATCATTAAATAAAATCATCACTTAAGAATATATTAATCATCCCCTGCCTTTTTCATTATGTAGTGGAGAGGCAGCAGGAAAAGGAATTATAAGATGAGGGACTTTTTTAGTCAACCAAATGTAAAATAATTTATTCACCAAGTGTGGGTACAAAAGACTAAACTCTGACTTCCTGCTCTCTTATAAATATATAATTTTCCCTTCAAAATTAAACTTATACAACCTGAAAAAAAAGTGCTTTTTCATTTTTTAACATTTGACTTCCAACCCATTTCCATTGTACCAAATTGATCATAATCTCTTGAAGGAATTTCTCATTCCCAATCTAGCTCATTCCTTGAGTAAATTGCTCTCCTTAATCATTTCTGGTTACTTGATACAATTAGCTTTGCTGAAAATCGCTTAAGGCCTTCTATTCCTTTTTAGACAACATGGATTGGTCAACATTTCCATACAGAAATTTCTACTAGACGAGTAAAGGTAAAAATCATGATCATGGGAAAGGAGCAATTTCAAAAATTTTTATAGGTTTCAAAGAAAAACTATTAAAAATCGGTCAAGAAATAATTTTCTTATTATATTTTTTTCAAAATTTGTACTTGACCTGATTTAAAAAAGATGTTACTCATTAATCACTTTCACTAACCTAGTATTCCATAGTATATAGTTAGTAGCAACTATTTTGCAAATAGTGACCATATTGCTAATATTATTTCTTTAATATATCTGTCTGGGAGAGGGGTAGCTCAGTGATAAGGCACTGAGCTTCCAATGCAAAGGTCCCAGGTTCGAACCCTTCGAAAAGTGGGTACCCTTGATTAAATAATCAATTAAGGGGGAAAACCTGGCGGTTGAGCGTGATCTCGGTCAATTCACCTCCTTGCACAACCGTTGGTCTAGAAAAAGTGGTTTCTCTAAATAGTACTGAACCCCAGACCCTTCATGGGTTGTAGTGGTACAGGTTTTTTTTTGGTAATATATCTGTATAGTTATGTAAATACCTCAGTAATTACTTATTTTTTATTGTAATATGTATTTTGGCCAGATGTTATGTTAATTTTTATGTACGATATTGTTATTCTTAAGGGACTTTGTCCCAGAATAAAGTTGATTCTTCTATTTTATATATAAAATATACAGTGAAAATTTTTGAATCTCAGTTTTCAATAGAAATACATGTTTTGAGGTCCCTGAGTCGAAATGACCAAGTCCCACAAAATGGTTTGTGCGAGTGTTAACAGTCTAGCTCAAAAACGAAAAGTTGTATGAAAGTGAAATTGCATATTCAAGGTTTTTACATGTTTCCTAAATATAAATATGCGGTTTTCATAGATGCTATTGTTGGTATTATTTAATATTTAATTGTATATATTACAGCTATATAGATATTAAAATTTGTATATATAAGGGTACTTACACAAATAAAAATACCAACAATGAAATATAAACCGATATAGCGTTTATAATTTTTACTTTCACTTCTCCTTTGTCTGAAATTTATTTATTTCTGCAAAGACAGTGGTAAGTGAAAGTTGTTGTTACCACACCAGAATTTTAGTAATATATCTCAATTTTGTTGAAGTTGGTAAAAACTTTCATTTGTCGTGATACTCATTAAACATAAAATATAAAGTTCTCCAATTTCTTAAAGATTGTTCTTTTTGCTTAAATGTGCTGTTCAGGAGTTAGAATGAGGAGAGAAGAAAACAAACACATTTGGCAGCCAAAACCCCTCAAACTTTTAAGACTCTTATGTTTGTTTTCTTCTCTCCTTATTATAACTACGGAACAGCGCAGCTAAGCAAAAAGAACAATCTTTAAGAAATTGGAGAACTTTATATTTTGTGTTGGTGAAAAGTTTGAACTAAAAATTTTTATTTTCCAATTTCGATCAAAATTTATTTTTGAGGAGTGAAATACAAATACAAATCTTAACTTAGTTCCTCCTTTAAAAAATATTTGAACTCAGTCAATATTAATGTTTTCAATATTATACCAGTCAGCTTTATCCCATTCGCATTTATTTTATTATCACTCAAATGTAAAACTGATTCTATCTTTTCCTCTTTATTATTTATTGTTATAGAAAAAATAAATGCTTAACCCAGAATTTGTTTTGTTCAATATTATAAGTCCATTATTTGTATCACATAATCCTTTTCTTTCCTCGCGCGGGCTCATTACCGCATATGGGGAGCGTCCCACGGGTGGCGGATGTGGGGATAGTCGGTGGAAATTCCTTGGAAGTTCCTCCCGGCTAAGTCCGATGGACTCGCTGACCAACAATGAGAGGGGCCCTCCAGACTTGCTGGAGGGAGGGGACCTCCAGACTTGCTGGAGGTAGGGGCCCACCAGACTTGCTGGAGGGTGTGACGTAGGATTGAACGCCCTACTCACATATCTTTAGTTCACCAAACACCACAAAAAGTCATGGATCTCCCTAAGGTAAAACGCTCATTATCCGGAAGTAAACTAGTCCCCCGTTCGGGTCTCCGGGTGGGGACTGCTTTAGGGGATTCATGGCGCAAGTTGAAATATAGGGATTTAAATATTGGTACGTGGAACGTAAGGAGTTTAAACACAGCAGGGGGGCTAAAATCGGTCGCGAATGAGGTAAATGGGTACAATTTGGATGTCGTGGCTCTGCAAGAGGTTCGCTGGCCAGGGGAGGGCTCGCTGAGGGAAGGAAAGTACACTATTTGGTACAGAGGAAGCGGGAATCATTGTTTAGGTACCGGGTTTCTAATTAGGAGTAGATTACTATCCGCTTTGAGCGACGTACAATTCTTTAGTGATAGAATTTCGGTAGCTATATTTCAGGGACGTTGGTTTAAAATCGCATTAATAAACATACATTGTCCGACCGAAGACAGTGACGATGAAGTCAAAAGTGAATTTTACGATAAACTCGAATGGGTTTATGATAAACTACCGCGAAACTACATGAAAATAATTGTAGGTGACGCGAACGCAAAGGTAGGAAGGGAAGAAGTTTATATTCCGACGATTGGTAAAGAAAGTTTGCACGAATATAGTAATGGTAATGGGATCCGTCTGATAAACTTTGCCATCTCGAAAAACCTGATAATTAAAAGTACGACGTTTAAACATAAGGATATTCATAAATATACTTGGACATCACCGGATTCGCAAACACGAAATCAAATAGATCATGTCTTGATACAACACAGCTGGCAAAGCAGTATAATCAATGTACGGTCTTATCGCGGAGCAGAATGTGGGTCGGATCATGAATTAGTAATCTCGAAACTTCGACAAAAACTTAATATAAAAAAGAGAAAAGAAAACCGTTTCGATTTTGAGAATTTTAATTTGGAAAAATTAAAAAATCCATCAATTAGAACCCAATTCGAGCTAGATGTTAAGAATAGGTTTGAAGCTTTAGAGCTTCCTGACGAGGACCATGAGGATATTGACAAGTTATGGGTAGAGATCAGGGATAATATAAAAGCGGTCGGTAACTCGTGCCTAGGAAAAAAGGAAACTAAGAACAACAAACCGTGGTTTGATGAAGATTGCTTAAACATGTGCAAAAAAAGAAAAGCCGCTAAATTAAAAGCTCTAAATAATCCTAGCGAAGACAATCTGGAATACTTCCGAATCACAAAGAACGAAACGACAAAATTGCTCAAAAATAAAAAAAGGGAGTATCTTAAAAATAAAATAATTGAAATAGAAACTAATAGAATCGAAAATAACGTAAGAAACATGTACAAATGTATAAACAGATCACGTAAATATGTAGGACCCGTAACGTCTGGAATTAGGGATGATAATAACAATATTCTGACCGATCCGGTTGACATATTGAATAAGTTTAAGGACCACTTTGACAATATTTTAAATACGGGAAATTATGATCTGTGTCCTCCTTCTGAGTACCAAAGTGCTGAACCGTTAATAGAAGGACCAAGTAAAGAGGAAGTTGAAGTAGCTATCGGAAAATTAAAATCATATAAAGCAGCGGGAATCGATAATATTCCTACTGAACTAATTAAGGCATGCGGGGAAGCTGGAGTTTCTAAAATACATCGGTTGGTTAAAAAGATCTGGGTGAACAAGAAATTACCTGAAGAATGGAAAGAATCTATTCTTATTCCGATTCACAAAAAGGGACCGAGGACGGATTGTAATAACTATCGAGGAATTTCACTCCTTCCGGTATGTTATAAAATATTCACTTCAATATTAACCAGTCGAATCACGGAATACGCCGAGGAAATTATCGGAGACTACCAATGCGGATTTAGACGGAATCGTTCGACTATTGATCAAATATTTTCTTTACGGCAAATATTAGAGAAAAAATTGGAGTATAACGGTATTTTTCACCAGCTGTATATAGATTTTAAAAAGGCTTACGATTCTATTGACCGCCAGAAACTGTATAATATTCTAATCGAGCAGGGGATTCCAAAAAAACTAGTAAATCTAGTCAGGATGTGCTTGACGGAGACAGTCAATAATGTTAGAATCGGTAATAATTTGTCCGAAAAATTTGAGGTTCGTTCGGGTTTAAAACAGGGTGATTCCCTTTCGCCTGTCCTGTTCAATTTGGCATTAGAACATGCCATTAGGGAGGTAATGCGAACCGAGAAAGGGTTGGATCTGGGCGGGACAACATCCGTGCTGGGCTATGCTGATGATCTGGTGCTGTTAAGCGAAGACGTTGAAACTATAAAACTAAATACGACAACGTTAATGAAAGCCGGGAAAGAACTAGGACTCGAAATAAACGTGGATAAAACAAAATATATGGTTAGCTGCAAAAATGACGATACTACTGGTGACATCGATATAGATGGTAATATGTTTGAACAGATAGATAAATTTAGGTATCTAGGTTCAACGATAACTAGAAAAAACGAAATTGAAGAAGAGATTAAGGTTAGACTGAAGGCAGGAAATGCTTGTTATTTTTCTATGACAAAACTACTTAGTTCGCGCCTCTTGTCCCGGAACTTAAAAATTAGAATCTATAAAACAATTATCTTGCCTACAGTTCTTTATGGATGCGAAACTTGGCCGCTTACATTAAGGGATGAGCAGCGTCTTAAGGTTTTTGAAAATAAAGTATTGCGTAGAATATTCGGACCGAAGAAGGATGAGTTAACCGGAGAGTTCAGACTGCTACACAACGCCGAATTGCGTGAGCTATATCCGGGTAATATAATTGATGTAATTTCATCGCGGCGAATCAAATGGGCTTGTAAAGTTGTTGGGCTTAGTAACGAGAGAATTCCTAAAAGGTTAATATTTGCTGTGCCGAATGGTAAGTGTCCGAGGGGTAGACCGAAGCGAAGGTGGGAAGATTGCATTAAAGCCGATCTGAAGGGACTGGGTTTGGACGGCGAACGGTTGAGGGAGGTGTGTAACAAGCGATTGATGGTGTCGGCATCGAACCTTCGGGTTCGCTAAGCCTTATTATTATTATTATTAATCCTTTTCTTTTCTTTTTCACATCTGTTTATTAAGCTTCATTTTAAGTATTCACATAAAACTTAAAATGAAGTTTTTATGTCCCCTGTAAAAGGAGACATAATTATGTTCCTCTGGACCAGATTAAGCATTTTTTTTTTTAAATATTGATTAATTTAGTGTATGATATAATTTATTATTTAGTCAGGCCAGAAGTAAGCAATGGAGCCCAAAACAGATAAAGATAAAATTCATATGGCCGAACTTGAAGATGATTTTGGGGTCTTGGATAACGATAAAGAATAGACATAGGATATTGGTATTAATTGTTTGGCAAATCTTCAAAGGCTAAATTTATTTAAGTCCCGTCTATCTGGATTAGACAATACATATGATAAATTTCAGGGATTAATTAGGGAAACTAAATCGTTAGCGAAAATTCTTCAAGATGCATCAGTTTCTCACCATTTGATGATTTGGGATTTTAAATTAGAAACATTTATTACGAGACATTATCTCTTTGGATTGATGAGGAACCTGCAAGTTTCTATTCCATTAACCAAACTATGATAAAGTAAATATGTCGAGTTTGAGTCTCATATTAAATTACGAGTTAAATTAAAATTAAAATTGAAAACAATAAATTTTATTTATGGCCACATTTGAAGGTAAGATTTTTAAATGGGTATCATTCAAAGATACATTTATGTTATTCATAATAATGTCCAGTTGACCGAAATTCAAAAATTTTACTATCCTAATTCGGCTTTAAAGGGTTTGGCACTTCAATCTATTGCGGCCATTTTCATTATATCAGATGGTTATCAACAAGCCTGGTCAATTTTGGTAAAATATAAATCGTATGAACCCTTCCGGAATCATTGTATTTACCTATTGCTTAAAATTATTAGATCCTAGGCCATGAGAACATTTCGAAACCGAATTTAGAGCTTCTTCTTAAATCTCAACATTCAAAGATTTTTCAAATTTCATTTAGCGACAATGTATACAATTGCAAGTAAATGCCCTAAGCTAAAAATAATGGTGCGAATGCTCAATGTTTTCAACCCCATAGATTACAAACAATAATGAAACACGTATTAATGTCGCCCGACAATCGTTCAAAAGGCAATATTTGTCAGTTATGACAAGAAAAACACTTGGACCTATAGGCTCTCAATCTATGGCACAAGATAGGTCAGTTTCATTTATTACATCTAATAAACAACCCGAGGAAACATTAAATAGAACATTAGAGAAATTCTGAGATGTCGAAGCAGTCTTTGAGGGGTTTTCTAAGCCTAAATAAACACTATCTATTAAAATAGTATTTTATTGTTAACATCAAATAGATTTTATAGATAGTATTTATTTGATCGGACCCCCCGACCAACTCCTTCTCATATTATAATCATGGTCAACCATCTCTACCTAATTTACAGTATACATTAAATAATATCTTTTGTTACTAAGATTCCAAAATAAATGATTTAAACTAATGAAATAGTTTTCTTTTTTCCTTGAGTTTATATTTTTTCGCAGGACTGTATACATGCAAACATATAATAAAATATGATCTAGATTTGCACAAGACTGATTTAATAAAATGAAAAATATTTTACCTGGTTGTTTGAATTCAACAGTTTCTAATTCAACCAATTTAATAAGGGGTACTTTAAAAAATATTGCAAGTCCATCAGGTTTATATCCAGTTTTCATCTTAGTCACACCTTGATACCCTATAAATAGAAAACAAAATAAAAATGCTTTTAATTGTTTAAATTATTTTCTGTGGAAGGAGCCCATCAAATTCTTAAGGTTGCCACTGATCATTACTCCAAATAGAATGTGTAACAATCAAGAATATGAAATTCTTTGTGGATTTCTCGGAGCAACTGAAATTTCAATAGTTTTTTTTTTACGATTGGCACTGTAGACTATGAAGATCTTTGGTCGCGAGATGTATATTGCTCTCCTTGTATGTATAAGATCTCCTTATAGACGTATATATTGCTTGTCGGAGCAGATAGTCTGGAGGGGGTCACCCAACCTCATGTTGCTACTGCTATGTATTGAACATAGCCTAATGATAAGTAATAACATTTAAAAATAATTTCTAACACCTGGGCGGGTACCTGAAACCCCCGATCCAACCTTTTGTAAGTGGCAAGAAAACAAGTAGGAACCCCAAAGGACCGACACCCAAGAACCGTCATAATTACGTGGGAAAGTGGTTACCTAGATAGTGGTACGGATACCTGAGACCCAGAAACCTTTGAGCAGGGACTAAAACACTTGAGGCCAATGGCGGTCAAAAACAGCAAAGGACCAGTCTTGTGTTTAAAGAGGACAAAAAAGCTTTGAAGCTTAAGCAAAGGAAGAAACGGTCCACTTGTTTAACCAATATTTTATTAATGAAATATTTATATTAAGTAATTCTGGATAATTATCATCAATAATTACCAGTGGCATCCCGTTATCAAAAACTACTAATAAAACCATTTGATACGTAGCACTACGAACCATGGTCCCCATGGTGCAGCGGCAGGCCGATCCCTTTGGGGCCAATCTGGCAGTGTAATTCCCAACAACTCACTCGGGTTCAAGGAGAGTGATAAGTCGGTTTAGATCCATTAATTATGACTGCTCAGAGTCAGCAGATGCACGATAACCTATATTTCTTTCTATTTCTACATTTATATTTTACAAAGAATAGTTAAGCACAAATTAGCACATAATTAAAAACATAATGTGAGATACTTAATAAACATCAAAATAATATAATTTACAATCATTAATAAAAGAAAACTAGCAATGTTACTAACTAAAAAATATAACTGACAACATGAACAAAATAAATAAAACCTATATGGGATGAGGAATGAGTGACATGATCTGACTAAAATTAATAAATGAATTTCTAAATTGGTTTCACATAATTTAATCTTCTATTGTGTGAAATATTTTTATAACAAAATGATTTATCTAGGAGGAAATTTTTATCTACTTAAACTGCTTTTTGTTCAATAGAAACTTGTTTTGAATAATGTAAGTAAAAAAAAACCTTAGGATGAGTTTTAAAGCTATTTCATCTTGAGAATCGATCCAATAATTCAATTTAGAAGAAAATTATGCACTTAAAATTATAAAAAATATAACTGCTTGTGAAAAAAGTAATAAATTGAAAGTGATTCTGGTATTTAGAATTTAAAAGGAATGGAAGAGGAGATAAAAAGCCAGGATATGAAAAAAAAAATCCATATTCCAAGAAGTCAATTAATTAATGAAATTAGTGTTATTTTGTTGTTATTTGTTGATTGAAAATCGGTCTACAATTATATTATGGACTTTCATGTTAATATTTTATTGTCTCTATTTACTATTACTATTTATTTGAAATAATAAAAATATGCAATTGTATGAATTTATGATCAAATATGTAATATAAAATTTGATTAATTGTATCTTGGCACACTGATTTGTAAAGATATTTGATCATCAGCTTAAAAACTGCATTTAAACAAAATATGCAATTACATAAAAATCTGAGCCTTGCACATAAAAATACAAAAGAAGGAAACAGGATTATTATTTAAAGGCTTACCATAGCGCTCTAAAGTTTTATAAAATGTAGGAATATGATTTCCTTCAACTTCTTGTAGACAAAGAACCTGAAAAAGAAGAAAGGCACATCCATTATAGACAATAACGCTAATTTGACAATTTAGACTCTCTATTTTGGAGGTCTATCAAAGTAAAGATTGAATAAAATATTTTAAAAACTATTTTCTACTTTGAGTAGGGTTTACTTTAAGCCAGGGATCTCCAAACTTTTTGGACTGTGGGCTGTATTGAGACCTCCACTAAGTCCCATGGGCCATACTAATACCTCCAATACAATACTAAGTCTCATGGGTCATGGCTCGTGACGAAAAACAATTTTTGTTCTATAAATGGCACTTGAGTTGTGAAATGAGAGTTTTAAGAGAAACAACTCATGCAATAACTAGTGAAATGTTGAATTAACCTTGTGTTTGAGTGATTTACTAAATTTCATATTTTAAAAAATTTCACTTGTAATCAAAGAAACTTTTGCGGGCCAGATTGGAGTACTTGCAGGCCCTAGTTTGGAAACCTCTGCTTTAAGATAACCATAACATTTTCTTTTTGGGCATGCCTAAACCACTTCATAAGAGATAGAGACAGCCAGAGGGAGGCTATAATAGATTTTCTCTTTAAATTTCAAGGAACTCTTTGCCAAGAGGGAAGCTTGAGTGCCAATACTGGGATTAATTATGTGGAGATAGATGAAATATAGACAAAAAAAGAAGACTAACTGTCAATTTTGAATGAGCTGTCTGCTGCAGTTCAAAATCTGTTTAGGGGTTCCTTATTCTCTTTTCAGTGATCTATATTGCTAGCAACAAAAAATGAATTAATTGATGTCAATATTGTTAAACAGATGTGGATGTGTTAAGAGAAAATCATTTCAGTAGGTTAATTACAGATTTTCATTTCAATTAAATTCTATCATGAGCGAAAAAAACATCAAATGTCCAAAATACCAGTTCTATAGTAGACCAACAAAATGTTTAGTACTTGAGAAATTGGAATTTCTGTCAATTCCTGTATATGAAATTCTAAGGAAGTGGGACATAATTAGAGTTCACATTAATCAGTCTGGAGAATTGCTGATTTTGAAGTAAGTTATTTAACATTGGATTGGCTCTCATGATAAAATAATATTTTGAAGACTTGACTTCTTTTACAGTCCTTAATAACACTATTATAGAGAAAAAAAATTGAAATTTTTGGCCCTTTGCCAATTTAAAAAAAAAAAAAATTATTTTAATAATAGTAATCCTTACTTACATCAGGATTAACTGTTAGTATTTCTGCAAGAATTAATTTACTCCTATAACTCCAATTCAATATTTTTGAAGACTGCTTTTCATACAGATAGTGATGTTGTTCCAACAAAGTCTGAGAAAGAACATTATAACTCATTACTTTTAGAGTTGTTTCCATGCCTAAAATATTAAAATAAAAGATGGTTACATAATAAAAAAAGGTTTTAGTCTAGGGGAAGAAAAACTTATTTATGAATTAAAATGTATGTCTTATATTATTCATAAATATGATAAAAAATAACACATTACTTCCATGTCCATGTGGAACTACGTTTATACCAAAAAAGTATAAGAGACTGTAGTTGTCATTATTTCTGGTCGGAAACATAAAAATTATGTTTATTTCCATTTTCAATAAATGTCACAGATATAAGTCAGTTCACGTTGTTATCTATATTTATTAACGGGTAGAAATGAAGGCAGTAAACACAAATTATATATCCTTAAATCAAAGCTAATTGTGAGTGTCAAGGTTGGTTACTTCCATACTCATTCAAAAAAAGCATTCCATTTACAATGTAACATGACATTGGCATACAATACCCAAACATGACACTTCTGACCTAGTATCAATTTGAGCTTTCTAGTAGATCGAAGACTCTAAGATATTCTGGTAAAACAAATCATCAGCCAAATGAAATTTGAATAGTTTTAATGTTTAACGGGTGGGAATAGAGCAACAAAAACATTTTTTTCTGCTTATAGGTAATACAAAGAAATTTCCAGCAAACTTTCATGATATCTTTTATAGTTTTAAAAAAATATTCTTTAAGTTGAGCATGCAAGTTAAATGTTGGATTTTATAATCTTCAAAAGGTGCCAAATTAAATAAACAAAAAAAAAAAAAAAAAAATTAGTAGTAGAATCAATACTATCTAAATCACAGATAGGGCTCATAACTGGGTGATTCGATATGAAGTAACCCAATAATAAAATTTGTAGTTATTTTTATAGCTCTAAATAGAAATATAAAACATCTTTCTTATCATATAAATATTTTAAAAGCAGTCTCTAAAACTCTGTCTAGTAGTTTTATGAAGAGTTGAAGGCTTTATTCTTCCTACTAATGAAAATATTTCCTGGCATCTCTTTCCTTTTCCAAGTCACCCAATCGCACCATCCTTCATATGTTTCTGACGTGTTTCCATTCAAATCCTCTGTTCAGTCTTTCAATACCACTCCCGGTCTTCAGATTTATACACAATGGCTCACAGAACTGTGGTTTTTGACAGATCTTTCATTATTCGATCCCCATCCCTATTGAATTTCATCCCCTCCTACATCAGCCACTCCAATACCCTACCGACCTCTAAATCCCACCTATTCCGTCATTTCCTAACCATCCAGTTCCCGAACAATTGCAAATAGCTTTATCTTTAAACGAGTCTGTAAATTAGTTTGTTTATAATTTTTTTTTCCTGAGGTTCTAAAGCCCATAACTGTTTTATTTAGTATTATTCTTGAGATACTTGTCCAGAATAAATAAAATATATTAATATTAAAACAAGATTGTTACACAGTTCAATTTCAAATATGTTGAAACCATTAAATATAAATAATTTTCAAAAATGTACTTAAAAAAAAAAATACCTGAATCAAAATCAGAATAATGAGTGGTTTCATCAAAAGATTCATATCGCCTCAGAGTCTCAATTGATCCTTTGGAGCCTGAAAAAAATGGAATTTTAATCATTCATCAAATTGCATTAATTCAAACAAACCAAACAACTTAAATACTTTTGCCTAATCTGATGGCTTCAGGTAAGTTACAAACTGCCACTAATTTAAGTAAATCATTAGTAACCCAAAACTGAAAACATACTGAAGTACCTGGATAGATTCCATTGTCTGTTGAAGTAACATTCCCACCTGTTGAGATGTAAAATGACATTTCAGAATTTATCATTTCTTTTTTAAAATGATTAAGTCTTGCCTTGGTAGACTGGGAAGAAAGGGATTCTGTGGGTTTAGCTATATATTTTAATGGGCAAGAATAAGTAGAGAAAACTGATTTGAACTTTTCATGAAAGAAACAACCTAAGATTTGAAAAGAGTCCAATTTATTAAAGACAACTCGATAAAAAAGCTGATTCAAGTTTAATCCAGAGAAATTATGCATAATACCATTTTTTTCTTAGAAACATGGATTGCACATTATCTTAAAATTACAATACTGTAAATAGTTATAGGATAATGTTGAGAGGCTAATAACATTTTTCAATTATCATTAGTTTTGATTAATTTTAACGCACTACGGACAGATATTTAATAATGACGTTTACTTCATATTACCACATATTTTAATTCCCATCATCACTTCAAACCACACAAACAATTTTAAATAACTCATAATTTCCAATTAACTTCAGAAAAACGCACAACCCTCACTGAAACCTCCTTCTAGGATGTCAGAAAATATCGATACATAAATATTTTACCTAATACATCGGTATTTTTATGTAATAATAGTTTAAATTAACATATTATAATATCATAAAACTTACAATACAATTTTATAATCTAAAACCGATATTTAAAAAAGAAAGGTACGTATATATACTTTTTTAATGTTAAAGCAATGAAATTTATTTTAAAATTAATCTTTTATTCCTAGTAATGATTTCTGATTTTTGATAAGAGGATTAATAATTGACAGTTGTGGATGAATTGAAGAAGAGTTGCTTGAGGTGTTCAGTCACAAGTAACAACGTAAAAATAAATAAATTATGCTTATTTCTTGGGTGATAAATATTCAGGACGCATCTTTTTTTATTTTTGCCAACGTTTCAACCCAAACATGTGGGTCATCTTCAGGGCGTGGTTTGAACACACCCTGCTTGGGTGCTTTTTAATCTTATGGTAAGATTAAAAAGTTACAAGATCCTAGGTGGCGTTCCTCAGGGTCTAGTTCTAGGACCCTGAGTCTACCCCAAGTAAGTTATTCCCCACCGTCCAAGACAGACTCCAAGGAACCTGGGTCCTCTCTGATTATTTGGTCTCGCAAATTCTCACAGGACAAGGAGGGTCCCGTGAAAAATCAGCTGGCCACAGTAAGGATATCAATACCCAGTACCTTCCCTCCGGCGTCCATGAGACAACAGAACACATTCTAGTATCTTGCGATAGAGGGATATCGTGCAAAATTGATGAGGAAAGGCGTTTCTGCCATCACTGAAGCTGACTTCCTCCGCCTAATGGAAGAGGAGAACTACTCTTTCTTCCGGAAGTATGTGTACGGGTGGAAGGAGCTGGTAGGTTCTACACATTTCACCCTAGGAAGGGCAAAGATACTGTCACAAGAAGAAGAGGAGGCAGAAGTTGCTTAGCAGGACTGGATGGATGCAGTGGGGCAAGATGCCGGATCCGAGGCTGGAAACAGTTAACCCATTTTAATATTCCCATATTGAACGATCGAAAAGATCTGTAAAAACTGCTTCAGGGCCGAGAGCACTTCAGAGTACAGGAGCGGCCAGGCAATGGCTGATCTTAAATGAGACATCCATGAGAAGAAGTAGGCCTACAGCCCTTCTGTCCTCCGTGAATTAATGCTCGATAGCAGTCCCAAGGGGGTGGTAAAGGAGAAAGGTATTTTTTTAGTGAATAGGAATACTGTTGTGCGACTTTTGGTTTGTTGCACTTCGTGTTATGTAAGATTTTCTCCGTACCTAGATAAAAAAAAAAGAAACACGAACTATTGTGTGGGACTTGGTTATTTGGACTCAAGGAGATCTTAAAACATGTATTTCCGTTGAAAAATCAGATTTGATCATTTTCGCAGTCGCAATACTTTCTCTTACTATATATATTGAAAGTGAAAGTAAAATGTAATATCTAAGTACATATTTTATACTTTACTATAGTATACTTTATAAACGTCCTTGGTTAGATTTTATTGATAAATTTAACGGAAACTACTCTACAAATGTTAGATTTCACGTTATCACACCATAAATGGAATCAGGACAATGAATGCGTGTCTACAAAAGTGACCAAACCGTCTGATGAGGTACCAACACGGCCTCAACTGAAAAGCATCTGTTCATCCCTTTTGAGCCAGCGGAATTCGAAAGCAGCAATTTACAAAGCTAACAATTCCCCGATTTTAATTGAAGAAGACCAGCAGTTAGTTTACCGAGTTCGTAAATTGCAATCTAAATGGAGGGAGGTTATACTGTGAACAGTTTATTAATCTTCTGCTATACTCTAATCCCATTTATAGTGTGAACACTGGATCATGGCCCACTCGGCAAAGTGGAGTGAAAGAGTAGTAGATTTGTAAAGAATAGTGAAGATTTATTGAAACTCAAGTCCCTCCCAGATCGAAGCCAAGAAGGACAAAATTTAGAAATCGGAGAAGAGTTAGTCGGGTGTTCAATCACAAGTAACAATGTAAAAATAAATAAATTATAATTATTTTTATTTTTGCCGACGTGTCAGTCCAAAGTTTAGGCCTTCGTCAGGGCTAAGAAAATAAAAGATAACCTTGATATGAGAAACTATAAAAAAGGAATCATACGTAAAGTAAGATAACATATATAAGGTAAGAATATGAGGAACTATAAACTTGATACTTATTTTTTTCTTGTTTCTCATATCTATGTTATCTTGTATTTTCTTAGCCCTGAAGAAGGCCTAAACTTTGGACCAAAATGTCGGCAAAATAGAAATAAGCATACTTGAAGGAAGTTAGTCGGCGGTTCTACATCGGTGAAATAACTCAATAATCTTTGAGATATTGTCGGACTTCCATCCTTCGCAATCCGATCAAGATGCAATCCCACCATGCTGGATTAAAAACATTTTGAACGTCCAACGTTATAATGGCGCAGTACTTCTTACCAATTCTCTTGCCTGCAATGGCTTCAGGAGTAGCTCTGATGGCATCGATTGTCGATCTGCCCTTCCAAAAACCGTACTGATTATCGGATACTCCTTGGACTCACTGAAGTCGTCCAATCTACCATAAATGATCCTCTCTACTACCTCAGCGGCAGAGTCCAAGAGACATATTGGATGATAAGATGTGGGCTCTTCAGAGGCCGTTTTCTCTTTGGCAGGAGCACAAGACATTGCTTCTTCCACTGTGTTGGAAAGACACATTCCCTGAGACAGGTGTTCTACACATCGAAGAAGAGTTGTGGTCTTGACCTAATAGCCATTTTCAAGGAAAGATTTGGGGCATTATTCCTCTGTTATTTCCGACACTGGTTTCAAATTCAGCATCGCAATCTTCCGTCAATGAGCACTTCCGAGCGTCTTGGAAATGCACTGCCACTATTTTTTCCAACAACTCTGGAGATTTCGAGGGCGACAAGTGTGAACTTTTCAGTTGGGCAATGATTGTTTTGTAGGGTCTTCCCATGTGTCTCCGTCTACCTCTTCACATAACTTATTCCAGTAGTGACGTTTACTTTCTTTCATTGCATCGACTAGGTTCCTCTTAGCTAGTTTATGTTCCTGCTTTCAACCACGTATAGCAAGAGAAATAGAAACCATACCATAATAAACTTTTAATATAAATTTATTAGTGTAATGAGATGAGTCGGAAATGTAAACTCAAGAAGAAACTTTACTGAGAATTGTCAAGCTCGGCAAGCGACATACCCGCATTGTGAATTATGTGCAATACTCAGCTGAATCTAAATGTTAAAATAACTTTAGGGTCAATCAGTAGTATTAACAATCTCCACATACATTATTACAGTAAGGCTCGAAATCGGTTTTGTACCAAATATAAGATCCTGTCATTCTCAAATACCATGAATGGGGTACCGTGGGATTCAGAATTTCACGAGGGATTAGCGAATCTTTCCAGAACCCCCTATCGTGCACTCCCTCCCTCCCCCACCATATCTCTATAAATTGCATATCGTTGTGTCCCTTGTAACTATTTATGAAAAAAAAAAAAAAACCAATGTTCTTACACAAAAAAGTGAACGCACTGCTCCAAAATGGCGGATTGACGACTTTGACTTTAGTTAGTTTTTTGGTCACTGAGAATCAGCACTTGGCTTAATTTCCTCATGGTTGGTCTTTTATTAAAGCTGAATAGTCAGAGAATAATAAAACATGAACAATTATTAAAAAATAATTGGCTTACGCAATAAAAAACACCAGTAAAAATCAAAAATTGAGGTTGAAAATAAAGCGTCGTTTGTAATTAAACGGCCAACAATAACGCAAAATGTGCTGAAATAAAACATCTAGAGAATATATTTCTCTTTCAAAAACACTGATTACTTTTTAAAATATTTGAAGTAGTTCCGTAGAAAATGCACTTATGCGGGGGAAAAGCAGTGCTGGGGTAGGTGCCTACAATCTACCACACCATTCTGTACACATAAATGGCTTAGTTATAGTGATATAATAACGTTTTTGGTACACTATATATCATTGGTTTTATTAACTAACAAATATTAATGCAATCATTTAATTGTAAAAAAAATTAACAAAATTTTTTGTTAAATTTATTATTTTATTTTATTGTTTATTTAACTTACTTTATTCTATACGGAGGTCGTTTAAGTAGACATCTATTGTAAAAATGATATAATTATAATAATTAAAGTTAATTAAAAAATACTTTGCTGAATATCTTGAATTTTTTATTTAATGTTTGCAATTTAACACTTTGTTTTGTATATTTACTGATTCTTAGAAGTAATTTAAATTGTATATACTTTCTAGGAAATGAGTCATATCAATACCTGTTTTATAAACTAAAATAATATATACCTAATCTGAACTACATTTTTATTATTAACTGATAAAAATCAGTGAGTAACTTATAATTTCTTCTATTATTTTTTTTAATTTTGACTATTTAATTACTCTATATTTTTGTTTATATTATGTTATGTCTATATTATTATTATTATTATTACATATAATGAATAGTTATTAGTGAGTAGGTATTTAGTCATATCAATACCTGCTTTATAAACTAAAATAATATATACCTAATCTAAACTACAGATAATGAATAGTTGCCAGGTTGTTTAGTAAAACTTATTGTAATGATAGGAAGGGCAAAACTATAAGTTCTTCTAGTAACCGAAATTCATTGTTTGGATTTGGTCTCAAAATGAGGGAACACACGAAATTGGACCCAAAAATTGGAAAAATACATTAAGGGAACGAGAAAGGAAGAGCCAAAATCTCGGAAAAAAAGGGAAATATTTTCCCTTGGTGGCTCCAGTTAGCAATTTTGTATTTTACATGTCTCAACACATATATACAAATTAAAAGAATAAAAATTTTCCCACATTTTTAGCCATGAATTTTCCGTTTCAATCCTCAAATTACTGGTTTAATATTCTTTAAATCAGCCGCCATTCTTATAGGTAGCAAGATCTGACTGGGGGACTCTTATCTTTCTCTCTATTATATAAAAAGTTTTTAGTTTATGTATTATGTCTTATTTTTTTTTTTTTTTTGAAATCTATTTATTGAATAATAATACAATCAGCCACTGCTGGAGGGCTGTAAGCATTAGGGCTAAAAGTTCTCATTCATACAATATATACAAATAATAAAGAAATAAATATAAATATATGAAGTAAATAAATAATACTGATGAAGAAGGTAAATAAATAAATAAA